TAATGTTTTAAGTAGAATTTGGCTATAATTTTAAACTTAAATTTTGTTGATTTAAAATTTTCTTTTTAATTCTTAAAATATTTTTTTCATTTGTTATATATCTTTTTTATCATAAAGTTTAAAAACTTAAAAAAATAAACAAAGAAATTTTCAATTTTTTTCTTTAAAATAATTAAAATCCTTCTTATATCCTTTCTTTCATTTTGTAACAGAACGTGCACCAAGTGTAATACCTACTATACCACGTGCGTTAAGCGTACCACCAGCATCACGCGGTGCTAGAGCTAGAACACCAGCATTTGAACCATTGCAACCACTTCCACCATTGAGTGAAGCAGCTGTTTTTTAAAAAACGGAATTCATTTAAAAAAAAATTTTACAATTGATTTTTTTTTTAAACTTTTTTTTTTTTTTATAACACAACTCTTTTAACAAAAATTAATTATTTTATTTTCTTAATTATTTTTCATTTGATCGTAATCTGTCCTTTTATTTAAAATATATATATTTATTATTATTAAAAAAATAAGAACACAAATTTAAAAAAAAAAGTTTAAATTTATGTTTTATTTTCTGTAAATTGTAAAACCAAAAAAAAAAATGTTCATTTTAATTAATAAACCAACACAAAGAAAATTTTGAAAAGTGAGGTTATGTGCTGAACTAATTTTTTAATTAACCAAACAAATATCAATTTGAACACTAAAAGAAAATAAAAACATAAAACATATGTAATATATATACAACATTTAATATTAAGTTTAATATATAAAACACATTAAATATATATTTAAACACATTATTTAAACATTAATATGAAAATTATTAAGAGAAAATAAGCATTTCAGCGCAAAATATTTTATAATATTTAATATTACAATTATAAAACAATATAATTTACATGTTAAAAAGGTGGAATATTATTTTTTAATTTATTTTAAATAAAAATTGCTTTATTTTTTTTTTCTTTTTTTTGTTAAAAAAATATGAGTTTTTCATTTAATTAAAATAAGCACTAATATCTCATTTGTACAAAGAAAACTTCACGCATCTTTTACTTTTTTTGCAATTACACCTATACCCATAATACATTTTGTAAAATTTTTCGAGCCAAATCATACACAACTTTTTCCTAAACATATAAAAGTATACTAAGTGATTATGAACGGGTCTTGTTCATATATGTACATATAAAAGAGAATGTGTGATTGTGAAAATTTTTTAATTTCGTTTTCAACTGATCAACTTAAAAGGAATTTTTGAATGGAAAGACTACATTGTAGGTTTTCATAATTATGACTGCAACGCCATAGTTTAAAGTTTAGATGAGCAAAAACAAGGAAAATTTTGCAGAAAGTATAAAAATATACGTGAAAGAGAGCATCTAAATGTTTGTTGTATTGAGTTTCACTTACAATACATTATAAAAGGAAATCCCTCTTTTATTTAAAAAATCAATGCTAAACGTGTATATGAAAGACATTATTTTATACAAGCGCGTTATAATAGAAGCAATCATTAAAAATGGAATGAATATTTATTTCAACAAAAAAAAGTACTTTTCTTATGTAAAAATCACTTTTCCTAGCCTTAAAGTTCAAATATCGTACAGGTCAAAAAAATTAAATTTTCTTCATTATAGAAACTTCGCGTTTATTGTAGTAGAATTCTATGATAAATGTTTTTTGCAACTTCACCTTTTTTTCTAATTCTGTTCAATTTCGAGCACATTTTTATTAATACATTACAATTTAATTCTTTTTTAAATTATGAAGTATTTCTACCCTCATTTTCTCCTTATATCCAATTTTCTATTAAATTTTAATTTTCCATTAAATTATACTCATGAAAGTTATTAAACGAACAAGTTATAAAATTAAAATATTTAAAAAAAATGTTTAAGCGATTGAAAAATAAAATTTATTTTTAACTACTCAAAATCAATAACTACTCATACTCGTAAATATAATATCAAGTTCAATTTCAAATATAAAATAATTTCTTCTGCAGATTTATTATTCTTATCACTTATCAGGATTAAATAATTAATAGATTTAATTGCTTAATTGTTTATTTTATACTGTTAGATACTCATACTTCTGGGTTATTGTATTTATAGTAGATACTCATATTTTCTTATTGAGGAATATAAGAATTCACTCTAAAGACAAATATATAAATTATAAAAATTTATAGTATCTTAATCGAGAATTTAGAAATCACGATTTTCTTAACATTTTATGTAAAATATAATTTTAGTCAACAATTTGAGATTAAGATTTAAAATATTTAAGAATACGAGACACTTTCATTCTTTCAAGTGCATGAATCTATAATGCATTTATATTAACATATTTTTAGAATTTTAAAGTTAAAAAATATTCCCAAGGTGAAATTGAAAATTATTTTTAAAAATGATTTTTAGAGTTTCATTATAATTACGAAAATCGCTAATTATATGAATTGATTAAATTTTCTTTTCCATGTTATAAAAGTTTTGATTGCTTTTGAAATTTATTACTTGAATGATGCTAACTAACACATTATTATTATTTATTTCTGCTATATATTTTTATTGAATTCAAGTTCCTTTCATAAATATCAGCACAACTTGAAAATTTTTCTAAAATTTAATACTGAGTTATTCACTTAATTTCTAGTGAATAATTCTAAAACTTATTTTTACCTACTCACACTTAAAATCTAAATGAAAACTAAATGTAAACCAAAAAAATTACTTAACTTGTTTGGTATAAAATTTGTCCTATCTAAATTTAGATTTTCAATTCAAAATCTACAAAAATTTAATAGAAAAAGAAAATGTAAAAGTTGAAATAATTTCAAATTCAGATATTTTGTAAGCATGCAAACGTATACAAATGCAACGGCAAAAGAATGCTTTTGTTAGAAAGAGAAATTTAAAATTCTCATAAGTATCTCTATAACATTTTCTTATAACGTGTTACCAAATATACAATTTATACGATATTGTAAATTGCAGTTTTCATATACTAAGATTTCATTGATTTACAGAGACGTCAGTAAATTTTATTGTCTTATGTTGATTTTCTGTTGTTTTTAAATAAATAAAATAATTTAAATTAAGCCAAAATTAAATTTAGAATAAAACCATAAATTTTTTTCAATTTGTCAAATATTTTAAACACTACAAATGCTACACGTATAGACATTAGAATTTTTTATTTGTATTAATGTTTGCAAAACTCGGAAATTATTAAATTGGATGATGTTAAACAGATTTCTAAATGTTTAACCATTTATGGGTCTATAAAAACAACAAAAGATTCATAATCATTTCTATATTTGTACACATTAAAAGATTATATGCAATTTCTTATTAAATACATACATACACACATAAGTATATAACATATATATCAAAATATTTTAACTAACATCAACATAAAATCATTTTAACATTGCAGAATTTCGTACATAAATTAAATAAAAATAAATAAAAAGAAACTGTAATAGCAACAACAGCAGCTGTTGGCGACAATTCAATAAGTTTTCCTCTTTCATCGTCTTTTTTGTTTACAAGTGAAAATGTTGATGTTTAAGCAACAATTTCGAAATAAAAGTTTTCCTTTTATTTTTCTCAATCAATCAAGAAAAAGCTAAATTATGATTACAAGGATAAATTAACTTTAACAAATATGTGATTGTATATATTATTTACATACATTGTAGTACCCATCTAAAAATCTTATATGCTACGGAAGGAAAGTGGGCAGCAAAAGGAAACTGTTAGAAAGAAATTCAACAAAAAAAATTTTCATTTTAGAGAAAAATATTATCCTTGATATTTTACTTTTGTATAAGAATATCCTTTTATTTTAAGTTTATATGTGCAAAGATGAGAATCAACATGTTGAGCATTATGTGAAAATAGAAAATATATACAAAAATAATAAAGAAGATGAGGAGTAAATAAAGTAAATATCAAGGACATTATTATTCTTGTGTCACAATTTAAAATTAAAGGATCAAATCATTTTATATTTAATCATATCGAGTGAATAATTTTTTAAATTGTAAGTCATATACTCTTTGACATCGGAATCTGATATGAATTGCAAGCATTCTTTTATTATAAGTACATATAGTTAAGATGTACTGGCGTTCAATTACGGAAAAAACGAAAAAAAGGAAAGATATGACAAAAAAAATTTTAATTTAACTTTGAAATTAAAAATTTAATAGCACACATATGATGTTGAAATTGTGCACAATAAATTTTTTTAATTTAATTTGTAAAACTTTAATACTTAATATTTCTAATTCAATTTCGTAATTCTTCAAACTTTTAATGAAATTTTAATACACTTGCTCTTCACAATTTTATTTATTAAATTAGTTTTATTACTTTTTAAAAATGTTCAAAATAATCAATAAAACTTTAAAAGGTTTAACAAAGTTTAATTTGACAAAATTCAAGTATTAAACGCTTTTAATGTAAGAAAGACAAAACTTAATATTATTTTTATCGTTCTGCACAAAAACCGAAAACAAACTAAAAAAAAATTAAGACACTCGATGCAAAGCAGGTGAATTTTCATTACAAAAGCGTTAATAAAAATTTCATGGAAGAAATTTCATGTAAGTCATGACACCCACAATTTGATTTAAAATATTCAAAACTAAATTCTTATTTGTACGTCTTCTAAGCAATGGTCGAATAGATAATAAATTATTGGAGTTTTTTAGGAAACTTTATACTACTACAATTTTTAAACAGGGCTGCAAAGTAATATAGGTTTTGCATTCCATGTATTAGATTTATGTATTGTTTCATTTTAGGTATATAATGTTATCTAAATGTTGGTTTAAAAGTAATTGTATAAAATGATATTTGAACGTAAAATAAATGTTAAAAAAAAATTAATTATAATGTCGTTGTGTTGTAATTAATTTTTGCTCGTAAAATACACAATTTTTTTATTTTATTAATTTTTTATTTCTTTTATTTATTATTATAGAGAATTGCCCGAAATATATTCCCATCTATACAGCACCACGTTCATTGAGCCTTCCACCACCACCAAGAGGCGCTAGATCAAAAACACCAGCATTCGAACCGTTGCAACCTATGTTGCCATATCGTGACTCGACACCATTACCATCAAGAAGAGGTTTATCACCAATTCGTGAATCATCGGTACCACGTGCTTTATCACCATTACGTGCCTTATCACCATTGCGTGCATCATCTGTACCACGTGCCTCATCTGTACCACGTGCTCTTTCACCATTCAGGGAATCATCTTATGATCCATGGAGAGACATATACAGTAAGTTTGATGATAAACCATTGAGACATTGTGAACGTGAAGGTTCCCCTACACCCGTTAAAGCTGGAGAATGGGGACCAAGGGAAACTGAAGTTGCATATGATGCTGAGGGTAAATTACAAAAAAATAATTTCAAGAGTAAACGATCTATAAAATGTGTAGAGAGTTTTTATAAGTGTTTTTGGCTTTATTATAAATTTTTTGGTAATTGTAAAGCAGGCTGAACTTAAAAAAAAAATGTAAAAATTTTTTAAACAAAAGCAGAAAAATCTATGGGAAATAGATTGACGCTTCACTGTTTTGTTACAAAAATTTTAATAGTCTTCTTATCCGGAAGTTTTTGGCTTGTTCGCAACGATAGAAAGTTCAGTCAAAATAGAAAAGCTTTTCTTCTATCTAAGTTTCTAAAGAAATTTATGAGTTCTTTATTAGAATGATATTTTAGTGAGTTTTTGTGACTCACCTTCCTTATTCTAAATAACAAAAACTTTCCAGTTGTAAGATTTTGTGCTTTATGTTGTTTTTTTTATACTTTTAACTTTTTATCATTTCAAATATTTTGTTTTTTTTTTCAAAAGATTCTTCCAAACTTCCCCTTATTGCTTTTTATAGAAAACTTGACATGCTTTTTTTGATTTACCGATTTGTGGGAACTTATATAATCGTGTTCAATACAAATTTACTAACTGAACAAAGAGGGTAGCGCAGAATATAAACTATGATCTGAAGAATCCATTTACCTTAAGAATAAATTTGTTAATATAATAAATAAATTTGTTTAAATTTTAATTCCAAGTAGAAAATTAAGTTTCAAAGAAGTTCAAATTTTAATTCGAAGTAATTAAAAAACTTAGCAAAAACTACTGCTTAATTTTGGTTTAGCTATTTTAGAATAGTTTAATATCTAAAATGCGTAAGTGTATTGTACTCTTTAATTAAAATTCCTTTTCAAAATTTAGTACGAGAGACCAAACATCTGGATGTTGGCTCTTATAATGAAAATAATGATTCTCAATTTTTGAAGTTATAAAATCGATTCAATTTAATTTGATGACTTAAAAACTTTTCATTTATCTTTATTCTTTTTATTTATTAGATGTTATAATTGTTTGAGCTTAAAAATTTTGGTTGTGTAGCGTCTTAATTTTAATCTTGTTTATTTACTTGCATTGATATTATTGATTCAAGTCACTTAAAGACGAGACTTAACATTACGAAAGTTTCATGTATTTGTATTCATTTGCCATATGAAAATGGTTAAAATTATATGTTCATTTTAAATTATATTTACTTTGAGTTTTACCAAACTAATGTAACATTTCTTTTTTTCAATAAAAAAAAAAAAAAAATTGAAATTTTTTAGGACTCCCAATTTTCCATCCCAGAAACAAATATGCAAGCATTTTCAATCCAAGCCCATTTTTACCAATTTCACGTATCACACGTGATCCATTCTGGTGGGATTTAGAAGATTTGGCACCATTCAGGCCATTTATTCGTGGAACTAGCTTACCACCATTGGTTAGAGATTCATTTTTATCCCCAGTCAAACGGGGCTACTTATGGAGAACACATCCAATCAGACCATTTGGTAAGTATAAAATTAAAAAATAAAATTTTTATTTGTAAGTGTTTGTCTTTAATAGACGTTAGATGATAACTTTTTTTCTTATATATAAATTGTTTTAACAACTTTACAATGTATACGATTCATATGCGTAAATTGGAACAAAGAATATTGGTTTAAAACTAAGTAAAAATTATGCAGAGAAATGCAAAATTCATTTGAATCATTATATAGTAGCTTGGTATTTGAGTTAATCTCTTATTATTTAATTAATAATTAATAATGTAATTTTTTACAATAAATAATGATGCTGTGCAATCTATTTAAACAAAATACTAGCCTACTTTCTGCCAACAAAACTATGGCGCCTGACATGTTTAAATAATAAAAATTCAAGAAAATGGAATGAAATATACATACATATATATATGTTTAAAAATATGAAAATTTAACAAATTGTGCTTAAAAATTATTCTTTTTTAATATTTAAGTTTCAAAAGTCTTTTGTTCATGAACTAAGCTGCTATATATGAAAAATATTTGAAATATCAAAATTTTAAAAAAATTACATTTGAATACCACAAATACTACATCCTCACAGTGAATAACTACAATTATTTGTAAAGCTATTTCAAAATTATGTTTCAAGCAAGAGAACATTTTTTCAAATCTGCCCATACACCCCCCCCATACACATTTTTCTCTTTTCAATTTTAGATTTTTATATTTGTTTTCTATTTTGCTGAAAACTTCTTGGTTTTTTTTATAGCGTAAATTTATTTCTACTCTGCTCCATATTTTTTTTATTTCACATTTAAATTTTTAATTTATTTATTACTAAAAATATAATTTTAATTTATTATTTTTGTTTTTATTTTATTTTATTTTTTTTTTCATTTGCATTTGCTTTCTAAATACAGAAGACGAAGAATAAGAAGAAATGACTTCTTAAAAAAAAAATAAATAAATTTTTCCTCAATATGCGAAAATTTAGTGTGTGATGACAGGATATTTTTATAATTTCTATAAAACAAAGCAATAAATTACTCAAAAAAAAAAAAAAACAAAAATATTAACACTTTTAAAATTTACAAAAAAATAAAAAAATCAACCTCAATTATTTTTACAATTATTTTTTACATATAAAATTGTATTTGAAATTTATATTCGATTGCCCGTCAATATTATTTTTGTTATTTTATCACTGACCTGACGCAAATCTTTGATTTTACGTAATTATGATGCACAATGTATGATTTAAATGAAACAAAAAAAAAATGTATAACAAAAATTTTGAAACATCAAAAGTGGTAAGAAATTACAAAATTTCATGTAGATGTGGTTATGATTTGATTGAATACCATTTTATTTTTGAACAACCCTTAAAGAACAAGGAAATTCATAAAAGTTTTAAATTATTTTATACATGAGAATTTTGCTTTTAAGATAGTTTTTTGTGAAATAAAACTTCACACACACATACACACACAATGGAATTTCAAGTACAGCAGGAATTGCAAATGCATTGTTCTTGTAATACAGAACTAAGAAATACCCTTATATTTGTTTTAATTGGTAACCGTGGTTTTAATTTGAAAATTTACTTCATCCAGCAATTAAATCGACATTGCAGAATTAATTCAATCCCCCATAATAATAAAATACTTCCTTTTTAAAAAAATATATATATGATCCCCTAATAGCAGTAAATCGTAGTAAATTAATTGTTATTATTTCTAGTAATACTAAAATTACTAATAACTGTAGTTGTCATTTAAGTAATTATTGTAATTCTATTAGTAGCTAAAGTAGTACAAAATTTATTTTACTAATGTTAAGAACAAAACAAAAAGACATAAAATTTTTCAATTGAAATTTTACTTTTAAGTACAAATACTTTGACATTTCGAAGCCTACAAATGATTGCTTTCACAATGATTTACATTCAATGATTCCTTTACATTTAAAATATTAAGAATCCAATGGTTTGTTGTATTAGGTTCATGATATTTTTAGTGTAACACAGTGGTAACATTAAAAATATTAGGAACCCAATAATTTAAATTTTGTATTTTGTTAGGAACTAAAATATGCATTGGTTTGTAAAACTTCATATATAGGTGTAAATTCTTAAACATCTATTCTTTGCTTTTAATCTGGATTAATTCTGATGCATATATGGATATAAATTGTTATATCCCTAACAATGACATGAATTATGGATATGAAATTTAAGAATTTATACCATAGGATGCAGTCCTTTTTTATAGTATGGATTTGTACATATTATTTAAAATTACAAAATTTAGTAAAATTTAGAAAAAACTATCTTATTTTTTTCATTTTACGATTGCAATTTTAAAATACTTTGACTTTAAACATAGATGTGTTGCAATGTTGAGTATTACACTATTGCATTATTTTTCCGTGCATATTTAGATTTGAAGATATTTGAATTTTTTTAAAACATGAAGAAAATCAATTATTTCAACACTGGAATAATTTAATTTCTTTTATTTTATAATCTGTTTTGATTTTGTAAAAACCCTGTTTTTTAATATAGTGTTATAATGTTAATCACTTATTTTTATTTAGTTTCTAATAAAGTGAAAATCAGATCGAAAAAAAATAATAAATAAATTTAATTTTTCGACATAATTTACTTACTTCCCCCAAATTATTATTAATTAGATGACCTGTTAGTGTTAGTTCCCTCAATAAAATTTAATAATTATCCTAAACATTTTAATTATCGGAATATACAAGAAAATATTAGTACGTATTACACTTGTGCGGTCAGATGTACGTTTGCACTTATATGCAATTAATTTGCAATAATTTTAACCATACCCTGAACATACAACTTAATTTTAATATCTTATATTTTCTTTAAAATTTTAGTAATAATTGAGCTCCAATTGCAAATTTATTTTGAAGCATTTATTATTTCTATTTATTTAATTAAACTTTATGGAGAAAATAACCATATAATATATTGGCTCCAGTATAGTTTTTTAGAATCAAACTTTCGATTTAAATGTACTTGTAGAGAAAAATTGTCTGAAATTGAGCAAATTAAAATCAAATTAAATTGATTGACAGATTTTTTACAGGTTTCATAATGTTCAATAGTTATTAGCGATCAATAAATGACGCATACGTATTTCTAACACAAAGACATTTAAACGTACCTCTGACTTCCAATAAGTTGATTTTTCAATTTGGTTCATTATTTTTGATTATAAATATTATGTAATTTAATTTTTATTATGCATTTAAGTTAAAATTACTGTGTTGAGATTATTAATTTAATTTTCTTTATTTTAGCCCACCTGTAATTTTGTTAGCAAAATTGCTCAAATTAAATTACCGCAATTTTAAAAAAAAAACAATATCTTTGAAAAGATAATAATGTCAAAAAGTTTCTTTTTGCATTGTTACAACAAAACATCATCAAAAAAGAAAAACGATATACCATCATCATAAAATAATTGAAGATTTTTCAAAATCACCTGTAAAAATCATCAACAAAGTGAAGTTAAAAAATAACAAATGAAACTTCAAATTGACAGGATTCTCGGTCGGAAAATGGCAGCTATCTCAAATGTAAAAATAAGTTAATTCGGGGCGGCGAGTGTACAACAACAACAAATTTCGCACATAGTAAATCAATTATTATTTTATCCTCAAATAAAAAAAAAATAATATACAAAAAGAATAACATCAGAGAAGGATAAATAAATGTTGATGTCCTCTTCGAAGAATTTTTTTTTATTTTAGTTTTTATAAGACTTGCCTTTTTCTTTAAATTTTTAATTTTCGAATTTTATTTTATTTTTTTTTTATCTTAGGATTTATATGAAATTAATAAACGATAATAATTCATACTAGCTATTTATGTAGAGTAATTTTTCAAAATGCTTTAAAAAATCGAATTAATTTTTTTTTCTAAAAATATTTTTGAAAACTATGTAAAAATATTTTTTGATTTATTTGGCCAAATATTCAGTAAATTTGGCCAGAGAATTTAGATCATATCGTTTTATTCTCCATTTACAATAAATATATGTGTATATTTTTTTAAATCGAAAATATGGGGTCTAAAACTTTATGGTTTGATATCAATAAGTCTGTTTCTTTATAGTTTTTAAAAATATTTTTACAATAAAGTGTTCAGAAATTTTTATATATCAAGCTATATATATGTATATATATATTTATATTTACATTTTATATTATAAAATATTAAAATAATATTTTTTTATTCACAATTATTTTTCGCTATATTTTTTTATAAATGTAAAATTTAAGACTTTTTTCATTAAAACGCTTCATTAGGAAAAACCAAAAATAAATAAAATGAAAAAAAATTTAAGAATTTTATTTAATAATATATATATGTAAATTGTATATATATATATATATATCTAAAAAAACATCATTTTATATTATATAGAAAACGATAATTTATATTTTTTTTATTAATTTTAATAAAATTAATGCTGGAGAATATAAAGAAAGAACAAAATACAAACAAAAAAGATAAATTTAAGGAATAACACCACAATAATTATAAAAATCTTACAAACAAAGAGTAAAAAAATTAAATTAAGTTAAGCTTAATTATTATTAATAAATTAATTATAATATATATATATATTTTATTTTTAATTATTTTAAATATAATATTATCTTAATCAAATTATAAAAAAAATAACGAAAATAACAAAATATTATATTATAATTAACAAAAACCTTTTATAATCATTATGAATTTTAATGTTGAAAAATGAACTAATAAACTAACCACAAATGAAATGGACCGAATAAAGAAAACAAAATGGTTGAAAATATTTTCTCCATTTTCTTTTTTAGTCAGCCATTTCAAAATTTTAATGTTTTTTCTGTCTTTTTTTTTACATTATATTTTTTTTGTGAAAAAATTTGATTTGTGACACATTAACGAACGAATGGATTGTTCAAATTTATGTATGTATATAGCTAATTATGAAAAAAATTTATATTGAAAATATTTTGAATTGAACAATTCATACGAAAAAAATTTATTACTAAGAGAGAAAAGCTTAAAAATAAATCAAAAATAAAAAAAAAATTTAAAAATTATAAAACATTAAATTAAAAAAAAAAAAAAAATGTATTAAAACTTTTTAAATATTTTAACATTAAAAAAAAACAAAAAAAAAAAAATAAATATTTTTTATTAAAATTTTTAATTTTTTTTTCCATTTTTGATTTAAATTTATTTGTATATTAATTAATTATTTAAATTTTGGCATTCGAGCATTAAAACATTCAATTACATAAACTTTTATTATTTTGTATATTAAGAATAATATAAAAATCGTGATTTATATATAAAGAATTTTCATATTTATACAAAGTAATCGTATAAAGATTTTAATAAAAAATTACAAGAACAACCTCCAACTGCATAAGTTGTGAATAAAATAAACAGAAGTATATAATTTTTTTTGAAACGCTGTGTAGTTTTTTTGTTTTTCGCTTCTTTTGAAAAAATATGAACTTTTCAAAGGAAAAAAAAAACAAGGAAAATTTAATTAAAATATTATAATAAAATGATTTTTGTAAATTGGAATAAACTTTATTACATAAAGAAAAACTGATAAAAAGAAGAGAACAAAAAAAAACCAAAAATTAGAAAAGAACTGTTCAAAATTAAATTTTTGAAACAAATTGTAAGGAATTATTGAAACAATTAAAAAGTTATTTTGGATACAGGAAAGAAAATAAGATAAGAGAAAGTTAAAAAATAAAAAAAAAAACCAATAAAAAAAAGAATGGAAAAAAATAACAAAACTGTGAAAGTGGTGTTTTTTTTTCGCTTTCCATTTAAGAGTAGGCGGAGGACTTTTTGACTCACGGAGTGCATAATCTCACGAGGTATATGTCAGCTTTGTGATACGTGCTTACAAATACTGTTACAAATTCAATTTTCTATTTCAACAAAAGTGTTTCACAATATATTTCTATTATTTTTGCTTATAAGGAAATCTGATCTGATATGGTCAGTATTCTCTGAATAATGTAAGTTCCAATAAATCTGTTTTTATTAGTTAAGAGAAAGTTTTTTAACAAATGTTTAGGTAAACTACACTTAAATGGTTATTTTATATTTTAAGAATGATTGTAGGCTTTTAGTTTACATACATCTTAAAATTTCTTCTCTATAAGTTCAATTTTCAAAAAATGTTTGTTATTTAGATTCGTTGGCAAACAATTCATAAGTGTAATATTTCAAGAAATGCCAGTAATTATTGATATGTTCGAAAACGTAGAATCGATTCCTAGTTAAATTTCGATTTCCGAAATTCGATATTCCCGAAATTGTTCTTAGTTCATTTGTTTTTGTTCAAAACAATTCTAGATCATTAAATTTCAAACAAATTTTTTTATTATTTTTCAACAGATATGGGCAAAAATGCAATTGCATTAGAATTCCTCGAAAAGTATTGGCATTCCAGGAAAATTTATAACTTTTTCATAAATTCATAACCTTATCTTAAATGAGAAACTATTGAAGAAAGAACTATAAGCTATTGAAGAAAGATGGTTATTTATTAACTTACTTTGGTTAAATTGTTTGATTACTCTTTTGGGTGAAAGCCCGCTATATTGACATAGAATAGTAGAGTAAGTACACGCTGGCCTCTGTCACATAAATGGATATATTACAAAACCAGGGTTTGATTTAGGATTACATGGCTTATCAGGATAGCTTGACTTAAAATATATTTATTGTAATTACACCCATATACTGTGTTTAATTTAAGTGTTAAAAGAGTAAATGCTTTTTATGTTTCTTCTTTTTATGTCTATCAAAGCGCAATAAATTGTTTAAACCAAAAAAATATTTTTAAGTAATCATGTACTTAAAAACATAGTATTTGCTTTAAATACTTCTTATCAGGGGACAAATTCCAAAAACAAAGACATTTAGGGATTGAAAAAAAAATTTTGCCAAAACGCAAAATCGGAAAGATACCATATTCACAAAAAACCCTTGCACATAATCAAAATATTTAATATATGCAAAAATCTGCCTCATAAAGCATAAAGAAAATTTAAACCATCTAAAAAATTCGACTTTTTAGGGTATGTAAATAAACATTTCCAAAAAGGAAACAAATAAAGGCAAAAGGGACTTATTGCAAAATTATGAATAATTTTTGCATTGGTCGTATTTTCACATTTCCTCATGACACTGCTTTGAATAATATTTATGTACCCTTGTAAGTCTTTAGCGAATTATTTCGCAAAACTTAAAATTGTATTTGATTTATTTTAATGGCTATTGCCATAAAAAAACGATAAAATTTTTGGAACGTAAAATGAAAATTATTTAAATGTGTGTATATACATATTTTGTAAACAAACGTTTGTTTAATCCCGAAGAATTTCTGTTATTTAATATTTTTGTCCAAAAGTACGAATTAAAGAATTTATTTTCAATATCAAAAAAAAGAACAGAAGATTTTGATTTATTTCGTTAACATTGTGTAGATAAGCTTTATGTTATAATATATGTTAAAGTATTATATAAATAAAGTGTTATATTATATAATGGTTATATTATATAATAGTATATAAATGTGATAACTACTTAAAAAATCTTATATTGAACATTTTTTTGCGTATTAAGTTATTTGCAATCGCATGCTCTATACACTTAAGCAATGATACGTTTCTGTTGACATGCAAATATAATTGAAAAATTAAAATAATTATTAATGAAGTAGGATCCAACCAATAGTATCACTTTTTTCTTAAACAAGATATTGAAAAAAGATTTCGTCTATCGAAATTTATTAGTGTATAAAGGTTGCTTAAATTTCTGACTTCCGCATATTATCGCCTAGAAAAAAACCAATATCAATCATTTTAAAAAAGGAGTTTAATATAAAAGTTTATTTGAACGGTCATTTTTTGTTTTAATATTTGCCTTTCCTTGTCTTGCCTTTACTTATTATTACTGCTTTTGTAGAATTTAGAACTTGTTTCCTGACACAATAAAAAGTCAAAAAGTGACATTTTTAGGATTTTGAGGGACTATAACTTTCAGAAGTTGGTTGATAGGTAAACATTTTTTTTGCATAGAGAAATAAGTTTTTGTCATAGATCTATTTAAATACAAAATTTCCACTTTCTATCTTAAAGCATGTAGGAGTCTTGCAAATAGATACAAAATCTTGTAAAGTTAAAGTTCCAGCAGAACAGATCATGAATTTCTGGGAAGTTAATTCAGATAAAAATTTTCATTAAAATCGGTTCAGCCGAACCAGTAAAAAAACAGACCTACAGATTCTACAAACCTATATCTCTCCAAAAATAGTTTATTCACATTTATCTACTCGTATTATGGACAGTTCTACGTCCATTAAACAAATGAAATATAAAATTTACACAATAATACCACCGCTACTCGTAAAACTAAGTATTTTACTAAGTCTAATTATTTTTAGCATCCTGTATCATTTACAAAGGTAAAAAATAATTTCATCCCTTTCTAAAATTTTTAACCATCGTCCCTCTAGTTTGATTACATTTAAACCAAAAATCAATTTAAAAATGAGAAATGTTTACGAAAATTAATAATTGTGATTCATTGGCATTTTACTGAGAAGAAGGAAAATTAAAGTGAAAGTAATTTCTTAAGAAAAATTTCTTTCAAAATTCCTAAATAGAAATTGTATAAGAAAAAAGAAAAAAATACAAAGTCTTGCGTTCAATTTTACATTTCTTTATTGAGTTGAAAAACCTGACATTATACTTTATTGCCACCTAAACGTGGAAAAAATGAAAATTTAAAAATATTCTAGCGATTTAAAATTCATAAAGTGTACTGTACATTACAAAGCATTTCCGTTCCTAAATTAAAAAATATTACGTTCTGAGTTGATTTAAATTCCGTTTTTCAACGTTAACATGATTAATATAAGTGAAGGAATAAAAAAATATTTTCAATATATCTTAACTTAGTTATAAAAATTGAATTGGTGAAAATCAATCAAGATAAAAACGAATTTTCGCTAACAATTATTGTACAAAAATTCTTAATGTAAGAGCCCATGAAAAAGTTTAGCATGTACGGGTATTATGTACATTGATGGTCTATGTTCAAAGGTCTTCAAATAATTTATGTTAATTAAAATTGTTTATTTCAATTATTTCGGAATATTTCGTGTATTATAACTTTAACTATAAATGAAATTTGCAAATACACATGTCTGTTTATATACATGTATATTTTTCTCGTAAAGTATGGCAAATTCAAAATTAAAACATCATTTTGTAACAATTAAAAATGGGAAGATTGTTTTAAATCCTTTTCCAAAACATTTTTTAAAAGAAAACTTCCAAAACCGTTTTGGTTCACGGTGATGCTTCGGTATGTACAGGAATTTTCATTAATTATAAATTTTTTCGTATTTTGTTTTTCCTAATTTAATATTGTATTTTGAGGTTTTTCTTCTCTTTCCAAAAATTTTCTTTTGTTTTTTGATTCTTCATCTCTGGAGATTTTCTGGTCAAATAATTTAAAGGATATTAAAAAAATTAAAATTATAGGGAAAGAAAAACATACCATCAAATTCCCGAAGCCCTTTTTAAACGGAAATTGATTTGAAAAAGAATAAATGTAAATTTGGGTCAAATTAGGGGTTTAAAATGAAATTTCAAAAAATTTTCCTTCAAAAATGAAATTGTGAAAAACCAATGCGCTTGTAATTTTTTATACATGTATGTATATAAAAATGTTGAAGACTTAGGAATAGCGTATGGATAAATTAATAAAATGAAAACTGCTAAAGGGTAAGTATCAAGAAAAATATGTTTAAAGCAAAATTTTGAAGCTTATACGCCATAGTACAGGATCTTGAAAATATTTCAAACCTAAGTGAACTTTTTTTTGGCAGAATATTTTTGTATACGATTGAATCAAAAAACATTGAAGTTAGATTTGAGTAACTTTTTAGCTTACCTTATTCTTTAAGATCGATTTGGTAGATTTTAAGTGCCTGTAACAAATGTAATAATAATTTTAAATGTGAAATTTATTTTCTCAGTTTTAATCTAAACCATCTAAATTAATTTTTCCTTTGCTGTAATTTTCTCAAAAAAATAAAAAGCAATATTTTCTCATGTAAAAATTTAACAACATGAAAATTAACCTTCAAAATTTACATTTTACATAATATAATCTATACAAATTTAATGTACCTAATACAAAAGTAGAGTTAAGTAAATTAAAGAGTCTGGTGAATTTTTCTTTTAAAGAGAAACATTCTTTCCTTAAATAAAATGGAATATTTTTACAAATATAGCCTGTACATGCATAAAATTTTCTCATATTACGAGTACACGGTATTTTGTTATTAGTACTTTTAAGTTCGTAAGTTTTAGGCGCGTTGGCTGATACGTAATATGATTGTATTACTTGAATCGAATCGAACAAATATATACATTTATGTATGTGCACATCTCACTATTTTCTTTTTGGTTGACTTAATAAAATTAGTATCAAATAATATTATTTTAACCATGTCTTAACTGTATCTATTGAGAAATGTTATACCCTTCGTTTTTTTGAAGGTATAACATTTTTATTGCGGTTTTTTTTAGCAATTACATACAGAAATACACAAAATTATATGAAATTTACATACACACCCATATGGAAGCTCATTTATAAAAATAAACTATTAAAAAAGGTTCTGATATTTTTCTTCAGATCCTAAGAAAAGATTAAAAAATACAAAAACAACAAAAAATAGCAGAACGCAACAGATTACAACATTACAATAAATAA